GGTATGGACGTGTTGGTAGGAAATAGATAGCCATTGCGTACAACTTTTAGATTACTAGTCTGCTGTGGCTGGCCGTAGCTGCCTTTATATAGGGGGCGGGCAGTCCCTTCGCGAACCTTCGCGAACATTCTACGCCGCGACGTAAACAACGGTGAGGAGAGGGCTTTCACGCGAATGTTCGCGAACAGTCTGCCGCAGCTCCGCGGCGTAAACAACGGCATGCTCCGCCCCCTCTGGAATATTCTTCTGATGTATATAAGGCAGTGGGAGACTACACTAGCAACGCACCTAAGCTTGTCTTAGTCTACGAATCCATCTCCTTTATAGAAATTTCAAGAAATCTATTCTTCGCGTTTTTTTTAATCTTGGACTCCTCATATTGTGTTTGGCCTCATTTAGCTTCAGTCAAACTAAAACTTGTTCCCAAAGTTAGCATATCTACGCTATTTTGGGGTATTCAAACTCTCTATAAAATATAGCAGGGCTGAACCACCAGTCTTTCACTTAATTATAACCAATTCATCCTGATGCATAACATGGTGCGGTTGTAGTAATGATTTTCAAACGGTCTTTCGTACTCACTATACGTTTGAGAATTTATTACTGCGTAAATACTGTAGGTAAGGTATACTCATAGCGTACGCAAGGCGCCAACTGGTTGATGAGTGGATTTCATTTAGGCGGTAACAAATCCTACAAGTTTTTTGGATCCCCTCTTACTTTACCTTTTGTGATAGATCTTCCACAAGATGTGGGGAAAAGAAAATATCAAGAATGATATGCATGGGTTAATGTTGCATTCTTGCTTCTCTATATTTTTTCCATCGGCTGTTTGCGATGCTTCCTAGCAACCAATCCATTCACTTTGCTGCGTTTGGTATAGGACGAATTGCAAATCTTTTTGCAAAACCACTTGTGTATGTATTTGCGATGGTATCACGACCCTATTGTTTACTAGGCCAAACGCCAATCGAATTTTTTTAGTGTCAACAGCGTGCCCATGAAATTGTGGGTATACAACGTTGATATACTGTGTTTTCGTCATTCGCGCTCATTGACGGCAGAAACTAACTTGACTTGCAAAAGTTCCTGTACATTACTCACAACTTACTTTCTTATAGCAATGTTTTTGTAAATTAATAAGTTTCCTTTAAAAATTCTCTTAAATATGCAATGTTTTGTAGATTAAATTTCCTGAAAAATTCCTGTTCAATTCTCTTGAGGGGGCGTGGCATACTCCCGTCTATGCCACGCCCCAA